TAGTAGTGGTGGTGGTGGTGGTGGTGGTGGTGGTGGTGGTGGTGGTGGTGGTGGTGGTGGTGGTGGTGGTGGTAGTAGTAGTAGTAGTAGCAGCAGCAGCAGCAGCAGCAGGAGTAGTCGTCGTCGTCGTCGTCGTCGTCGTCGTCGTCGTCGTCGTCGTCGTCGTCGTCGTCGTAGTAATGTCTTAGTCGTGGTTGAGGAGAAGGAGGAGGACGAGGAGGAGGAGGAGGAAGAGTGTAGGAGAGGAGGGAGGGGAGGAGGAATCGCAGGAAGGAGAAATTCGACATGTGAGCAGGAATATACCAGTTGAAGCATGATGCCGAAGCCCACTTCCGACTTCGAGCGGCGCCCCGAAGCCCCGCCTCCCTTGGCCGTCCTTCCTCATCCCGCCTCCTGGCTCCCCCCTCCCGCCCTCCGCCCTCGTTTTGTCTCCTGCCTTCTCGCTCGTCGTCCTCCCTCTCCCTCGTCCTTCCCTCCCCTCCCCCTTTCCGCACGCCTGGATGAATCCCCTGAGTCCCCCTTCCGCTTCCGCACTCTTCATTTCTCTTGTCCCTTCTCCCGTCCTCCCTTCTCCCTCCTCCTTCTCCTCCTCCCCCTCCTCCTCCTCCTCCTCCTCCTCCTTCTCCTCCTCCTCTCCCCCTCCCTGAGACCCGATGCGCGACGTGTGATTTGACCTGGCCGTGCCTCAGCAGAGAAATCCAGAGGCGTGCGTAGCGGAGCTCGACGCCCCGGCATTGCCTGGATCTTTTGACAGCCTTCGGCCTTCGGCCGACGCAGGAGTTCCTACGGCAGTGTCTGCAGACAGGCAGGCCCCCCAAACCACGCAACGCGCACAGCTCCCGCTCCCCTCCCTTTCCTGCTCCTCCTTCTCCTCCTCCTCCTCCTTATCCTCCTCCTTATCCTCCTTCTTCTACCGTCGCCACTTTCTTGGACCCCCAAGAGCCCACGAGAGTGGCGACGACTTGGCAGTTCGCAGACCCCAGGGGCGGCGAGGTCTAATTCAGATCTGGGTAGGCGGTAGGCGCGCACTACGCTGGACCCCCCGATGACGGCGACGGTTGCACAGTTCGTAGCCCCCCGGGACGGCGAGGTCCAAGCCAGATCAGGGCAGGCTCGCGCTACACCGGGACCCCCCAGGAGCCCACGAGAGTGGCGACAGTTGCACAGTTCGCAGCCCCCCAGGGGTAGCTAGGCGCTAGCACGCGGGAGACAGGAGAAAGAGAGAGAGAGAGGGAGAACAAAGAGAGAGAGAGAGAGAGAGAAAGAGCAAGAGAGATATGCGGGAGGCGGGAAGGAGGGAGGGTGCAACACTGATCTATTCAAAGCGAGAGTGGGATTCTTGAGTCGTCAGTGTGATGACTGATACAGATGCTCCACAATCATTATCCTTTTTTGGTGAGCATCATATCGCATGGCGCAATTTCACCCGTGAGTATCTGACAGTCTTTCCTCCATGTGTGCCTAAGTATTTTCACGTGTTCCCATTTGTCTTTCTGGGTACGGACTTTACGTTCTGGTAGCATGTATCTGTCCGAAAATACCCATGGTGGAGGCCAACATATGGAACTGCGAACCCCCACTTGGGGTAGACCTCCGTGGCACTCCACGTCTATCCCTGGCCTCTCCGCGCTCGCCCGTGCTCCCACGAGCCTACCTAACGCTCCCAGGACGCCTCCTACCGAGCTCCAAGATAGCCCTCAGACGCTACAGGAAGAGCCCCAGGGGACCCCTACACTCCAAGCGGCCCCGGCCCGTCCCGCCGCCGTGCCTTCTGGGATGTCTGGGGGGTCTCGAGGAAGCCTCTGGGGGATTACGGGGGGGCCGTCTTTGGGCTGGAGAGCTCGGGCACCTTGCGCGGCGCACCCTCCGAGATTGAAACATGTTGAAGAGCGGAAAGTGTAGGACCAGTAGGCTCGTGCGCCGAACCGCGGGAGCTTTCGAGGGCGCCCGAGATCGTTCCGAGAGTTCCAGCTCGTCGGGTGTCCAGGCCGTTGAGAACCATTCAGTCCCCCAGCACTCAAGACTCGCAGTTGTGTTGGCCTTTGGGCCACTCCGCTGCGCGCTCAATGCACGGTGACAGATTGTCGAGACTCCCCTGAGGCCTTTGGGTTGGACCCTGTTCAATATTGCAGCGCTTGTGCTCCCCTCCCAACCCCTCCCTCCCCTCATTGCTCCTCTCTCAATCCTCCATCTTCTCGACCTCCTGCTTCCTCTCCCTCGTACCTCCTCCCTTCATCTCGCTTCGTCCTCCTCCCCCTCCCCCTCCTGCTCCTCTCTCGTCCCTCCCTCCTTTCCCTCCTCCTGTTCTCCCCTCCCTCTCTGTCTCACCCCCCCACCTCCTCTCACTCTCCTTCTCCTCCTCCTCCTCTCTCCTCCCTCCTCCTCCTCCTCCTCCTTCCTTACCTCCTCCTTCCTCCTCACCTCCTCCGTCCCTCCTCTTCTCCTCTTCCTTCTCCGCCCCCCCCTCGGTCCCCCTCCTTATTGGATACTCCCCTCTCCTCCCTCCAGCCTCCCTCTCCACTCTCCACATCTTACCGTCTTCCTCTCCTCCTCTCAATCCTCCTCCTCCTTGCTCCTGCTGGTCCTTGGCAGGTCTCCTCCTCTCCTCCACTGCTCTTCCTCCTCCCCCTCCCCTCCCCCTCCCTCTCCTTCCATTCTCGCTCTCTGCCTCCTTCCTCCTGCTGCCCCATGCTCCGCCCCGCCCCCCCCTCCCCCTCCCCCCTGCCGCAGTTGCCCGCCCTCTGCAACCGTTTTCTGCTCGACCCAGGCCCTGCTGGCTCGGTATCCTGCAGCGCGTGGGACCTCGGCGCGCATCTCCCCCTCTGGAGCTATGTCGTTCAAGCCGCAGATCGTGATCGACTGCCGCGGGCACCTCCTCGGCAGGCTCGCCTCGGTCGTCGCCAAGGATCGAAACAAACAACACCACAGCCAGGATTTCCCCGAGGGCCGCGCGGATGTCTTGGATCGGGGCCCAGCGCCGATCCCAGACAGCCGCGCGGACCTCCGGCAAGCGGCGCTCATGATTTTTGACTGCTGCTCTGCAGGAGCTCCTGAACGGCCAGTCGGTCGTGTGCGTCCGCACGGAGGACATCAACATCTCCGGGTCCCTCTACCGCAACAAGCTCAAGTACGCCGCCTTCAAGTGCAAGAAGATGAACTCCAACCCCAAGCGTGGCCCGCTGCACTACCGGGCGCCCGCTAAGATCCTCTGGCGCACCATCCGCGGCATGGTGCCGCACAAGACGCCCCGCGGCGCCGCCGCCCTCGACAGGCTCAAGGCCTTCGAGGGCGTGCCCCACCCGTACGACCGCAAGAAGCGCATGTGGGGAAGCGAAAAGTCACACGAGCATAACAACTCGGAGGTCCGCGCGCATGTCTCGGATCGGCGCTGGGGGCCCCTGGCGGCGCCTCCGGCGCCGCCCCTGGCGCGCTCCGCGCGCCGGGGAGGGGGGTCCAGCGCGGATCCGAGAAATCCGCGCGGACCTCCGAGTTTTTGAGCTTATGTCATTTTTCGGTTCCCTAGCATGGTGGTGCCGAGCTGCCTGAAGGTGCTGCGCCTGAAGAAGGAGCGCAAGTTCTGCAAGCTCGGGGACCTCTCGCAGCAGGTGGGCTGGAAGCACCAGGACCTGGTGGAGCGCCTGGAGAAGCAGCGCAAGGTCAAGAGCGAGGTGTACTACAAGAAGAAGAACCAGAAGAAGAAGGCGCTCCAAGCGGCGGTCAAGGGCGCGGCTGTGTCCGCGGAGGACAAGAGCATCCTGGTGTCCGCTGGGCTCGCTTAGGTGGGCCGAGCTGCTGCGGCTTCCGTGGTACGCGGCGCGCCGGCCTCCCGGAGGATCCTACCTTGGCGACGCTGGCAGTGAGCCTCTCCCTTCTCTTGCCCCCTCCGCCTCCCCCTTCCCTGATGGGCTTGTTTTCCACCACCACCATAAGTTGGAGGGACGGAGGAGGTGGAAGACGAGGAGGAGGAGGACGAAGAGGAGGAGGAGGAGGAGGAGGAGGAGGAGGAGGAGGAGGAGGAGGAGGAGGAGGAGGAGGAGGAGGACACCCTCCCCCTCCAACTTATGGTGGTGGTGGTTGAAAACAGGCCCATCATCCCCCTTTTCCCTTCTGCCTCCGCTCTCCCCATCTTTTTCCCTCTTCCCCGGAGCCCCTCGTCGCCTCTCCCTCTCCCTTTGCCTTCTGCTTGCCTCCTCTCGCCCCCCCTCTTCCCCCTCTCCCTTCCCCTCTCCCTTCCCCTCTCCCTTCCCCCTCTCCCCCCCCTCCTCGCCCCATCTCCATCCGCCTTTGATCGCTTGACGCGACTGGAAGGCTTGCCTGCCGGGCACCCGCCTCCTCCTTCCTGCCTCCTTCCCCCTCCCTTGCTCCTTGCCTTCGTCGGCGCACGTGCGCGATCACACACTGGTTGATGAGGCTGCGCGCCCTCTTCTGCCTCTGCTTCCCCGACTCTCCGCGCTTGCCCCCCCCCTCACGCTCCCTCGGCAGCCCCCGCGCCACGCCCTGAGATCTGACCAAACGGGAACATGCAACACCGCAAAACGTCACGACCAGCACCCCCCGTGCACATCTCTCCGCGGCATTCCTCGAGCTGCATCGATCTGTGCTGGCCCTGGGGCCCGAGGCCGGGCGAGAGCGCTCGGCGCGACAGACGCTGCAGCGCGCGGCTCTCGGGGTCTCACGCTGCCTCGGAAGCCCCCGCGCCACAGGAGCAAGAACAAAGCGAGTCGTGCTGTGGAGACGGCCCTCGATGTCCAACACTGCCGAGGTTCCGACGAGGGCCGCTAGACATGCTGGAGATCCTGGAACGTATCGTGACCCAGTCCCACCATGACACGAATCTCGCCCTGGGTGCCCTCGCGGCCACTGGGCGCTGTCTGGGGCGATGTCGCTGCCTGGGGAAGCCAGAAGGCACCGATACCGATACCGCTCCTCCCCAGACCTCTCCCTGGATGCGTTGTGACCAGGGCTCCGAGGCGCATCTGGCCGTGGCGACGAGGGCCCTCCTGGAAGTTCGGACACGAGGGCAGGGCAGTGGCATCGGTACCTTCCCAGACCAGCACAGGGTTCCCAGAAGTCCTGACCCCCTCCCCCCCCCCCGGGGCCAGCTGCTCGTCCCGAGCAGCTTGTGGACGGTCCTGGGGCCCGGCGAGGGCCCCAGCAGGCCCAGAGTTTCCCAATCCCTCCGTCGTGCTCTTTCACGGCGCGAGCCTGTCCGGGTGTTCCCCCTCGGAGGCGAGGAAGAGGAAGGAGACTGTTTTTTGGGGTCCCGCGATAGCCCGGGTTCTCGGGCTTGCCCCTCCCCCCCCCCCCCCCCCAGGATAACCGAACCTTGCCGCTTGTGCAGGTCCGGGGTGGGGGGGCGCGGGCATGTGCAGGGCTGCCCACAGCGCGGAGGTTAGGTGATCGGCTGGCCCCCTCCTCCTCCCCCCCGGATGACCCGGGTTATCGCCGAATAAAAAAAAACGGTCTCCTGGCCCCGCCCAGCTGAGCCTCGCAGAGTACATCAGAAGTTCGACCAGTGGCACCATGCAGCCCCGCCTTGACGGGGTCGAAGGGGGCGTGGAGGATCTCGGGAAGACCACGCGGGATCCGTCCGAAGGTCGCACCGCTGAAGCGGAAATGCATGCCCAGAAGGTGAGAAGGGACTCGCACGAGAAAGGGTCCCATGCTTCGACCCCCCCCCGGATAACCCGGGTCATCGCCGATTCAAGAAAAAACGGTCTCAAGGGGCAGCAGGATCGGTGCTGCTTCCTCTGTCGCGAGGCGCCACGGGGAGCTGGGCGCGCCGGCGCCGAGCCCGCCGCGGAACGCTCCCGCAAGGCTCCTAGAGCGCTTCGGGACGGCCGCGGCGCCACACATCGAGTAGGGGATCGACTACAGATTTGATCTTATTCCAAATTGGGTGGTCGTCGAATCGATGACAAATGTTCTTTCTTATCTTGTAGACTCGACGAGGATATCAATCTTGGGGTAGATCACTTCTGTAGTCGATCCCCTACTCGAACACACTCACCGCCCACGAAACCACCGCAACCAAGGGCGCCCTCCAGGGCGCGAAGTGATTCGCGCTTCGCGCTTCGCGCTTCGCGCTTCGCGGTTCGGCTCCGATGCCTCCTCATCCTCCTTTTCTCCCCTGGGAGGCGGCGCGAGAGCGCGAAGTTGTTCGCAGTTCACGCTTCGCGCAGCGCGAAGCGCGAAGTTGGGAGGCCTAACCCGAAGACCCCGATTTGCCCTCCATTTCCAGTGGGGGGGGTCGGGGAACATTGAAAACATACGTGTGGAACCCGTACCCCCCCAACTCGAAATTCGAGTCTTCGGGTTGGGTTGGGGTGGTCTGGTAGGCAGTCACACACGTCTTCCAGAGTCGCCGGATCGCAGAAGTCCCCGAGTGGTCCTGGTCTGCTGCTGTCCCCGTTTGATGACGTGCCTGTCCTGGCCTCTCCTTAAGGCAGCACGGGCAGTAAGGAGGAGCGGCATTCCAAGGTTACCCTCGCATCCCTTCCCTTCGGCCCATGCTTGGCCACTTTCGCTGGCCGCACCCCGAACGAAAAGTATCGACAATGCCTTCCAAGGCCCTTGCATCCTTATCGCGCATCCTTATTTTACGCGTCGACGGTAGATGCGCTGTCCTGCCCCAGACCCCCGACGTCATGATACTTCCGCGACGTGGACCCCGAGAGGTCTCGACCCTTTCCCCCCGAGCAGCTTTTTGACGGTCCTGAGGCCTGGCGAGGGCCCCCAGAGGCCGAGAATAGTGACATCATTCTTTCCACGACTCGAGCACGTCCATGTTCTCCTCCCCGGACATCCAGGTTCTCCACGATTCGAGCCTGTCCAGGTTCTCCTCCCCTGACATCTTTGCCACGACTCGAGCCCGTCCAGGTTCTCCTCCCCTGACATCCAGGCTGAAGCTCCGCGGCGCGTGGCGCCAGGGGAGGCGGCCGCGCCGACGCCGCGCCCGTGTCGCGGGCTGGGCGGGCGGATGGTGGGGCTCCTCCTCTTCCGCTCCTCCTCCTCCTCCTCCGCCTCCTCTTCCGCTCCTCCTCCTCCTCCTCCTCCTCCTCCTCATCACCACCATCATCATCATCATCATCATCATCATCATCATCATCATCATCATCATCATCATCATCATCATCATCATCATCATCATCATCATCATCATCATCATCATCATCACCATCATCATCATCACCATCATCATCATCATCGTCATCAGCATCACCATCACCATCACCATCATCATCAGCATCATCATCAACATCAGCATCAGCATCATCATCATCATCATCATCATCATCATCGTCATCAGCATCACCATCATCATCATCATCAGCATCAGCATCAGCATCACCATCATCATCATCATCAGCATCAGCATCAGCATCACCATCATCATCATCATCATCAGCAACATCATCATCATCACCATCATCAACATCATCATCATCATCATCAGCATCATCATCATCATCATCATCAGCATCATCATCATCATTATCCTCATCATCCCCATAGCCATTTTGGCTCATGTTCGAAACCTTGCCGCGAGGCTTCGAGCTTGTCCGCAGCTGTGCGGCAGGCTCGTGATCTCATTGCAGGTGTTTCGGCAACACGGCGATCTCTACCAGTTTTGCTCGCGCTCTCTCCAGGCGGGCCAGCTCGGCTCCGCGGCATCAAAGGCAGGCGCGGACCGAAGGCTGGGAACTTGGAGGAGGCGCATTCGTACGCCAAGTGCAAGGCCTGCGGCCCGCGGCTACAGGCGGAACTGGGTCAGCAACACCTCGTGCCCTCAGTGCCGCAGGGGCCTGCAGCCCGCGCGCTCGCAGGAACGGGCGTCGCCTGGAGCGTGGGCGTCGCCTGGGGGACCGTCTCGCGCGGGCAGCCGCCCTCGGCGCCAGCAGCAGGCCGCCTCGCCCGAGGAGCTGCTGCGCCAGCTCCGAGCGGTGCTGCCGTCGGACGACGCCGCGACGGCCCAGCGGGTGCAGGACCTGGCCGTCGCCCTGGCGCCCACGCCATCGGCGCACGCCGACGTGGTGCTCAACCAGGCTCGGTCGCGCGACCGCAGGGCCGAGCACGCCCTCAAGGCGGCCATCATGGCCGTCGCGGGCGCCGAGCAGTGGCTGGCGGCCAAGCGCGCCGAGCAGGAGGACGCCATCGTGGAGGTGGCCGAGGCCGAGGCCGCGGCGGCCCAAGCCTATGAGGCCGCCGTTCCTGATGGTGCCGCCGCCCCTACGGCGCCCGCCGCGCCAGCAGCCAGCACCCCCGCCGTTGGCGCTGCCCTCGGCCTCTCGCGCCTCCTGGAGCAGGATGCGGCGGTCCTGGACGTCGCCGCCGGCGCGCTCTTCGTTTTGGAGGGCCTCGGCATTTCCGATGCGGAAAAGGCGCAGTTCCTGGAGCAGGTGGCCAGCTTCGTCAAGAAGGTCCAAGGGGAGGTCCAGAAGCACTTCGGGCCCGCCGCCGAGGGCTTGCAGGCCATGCGCGCGGAGCTCAAGACCATGCAGGACCGCCTCAAGGCCAAGCGGCCGCGCTCGGCCGCTCCCGAACCCGCTGCGAGGCCGCCGCAGCCGCCGCCCCGCAGCCCCAGCAGCCTGCAGGGAAGGCGGCAGGCAAGGGAGGAAATGTGTCGAGGAGCCAGCCACGAAGGGCCCCGCCGACGGGACCAAAGCCCCCCCATCCTGGCCAGGGTCCTGGGCCTGCTGCTGATCCTACTGAGTCAACGCTCGAGCGGCAGCGCCAGCGGGGCGCCGCGAGCTCCACGCCGTCCGTGGGGCTCTGCCGAGCGGGACCGATTCCTGACCAGAGCGGGCGGGGCCTCCGACAGCGAGCCTGATGGTGCGGCCTCAGGAGGCTGGCGCGCACCGTGGTTGGTTGGCTCCCACTCCATTGGCACGAAACCGCTCGGCCCCAGCGCCGCCCCGGGCGAGGCGAGCGCCCCGCGGCCCCTGCGCTGCTCGCTCCAGGCGCAGCCGCGGCCTACGTCAAGCGGGTGGGCTTCTTCGTCGACGGCTTCGTCTACCAGCCGACCGCGGACGTGTGCCTTGCAGCGGCATCGGCGCAGGAGGGGCGCCTGCTCCTGCGCCAGCGGCTGGCGCCGCCGTGGGCTCGCCATGGCGTCCTGGGGGCCACGGGCCAGGGCCCTGCGAGGCGACGCACCCTGCGCGCCAAGCGGACCTTGGAGCGGCTCCTCCGCTCGTGCACGGGTCACTGGATGGAGGATCCACTCGCCGACGACGATGACATGGACAGCTTCCTCTGGCGCAGGGCCTGCGTGTCGTCAGTGGCTCGACTCCTGGGACGCCCACTGATGGATCCGCAAGTCATCGAACGAGCTGAACGCGATGGCACCTCCATCCCAAACGCCCGCGTCGACATGGCCATCGGTATTTGCCTTCGATCTTTTCGGCGGCGGAGACGGCAGCGCATCCGCTATCCCCAATGGATGCGCCACCTCTTCATCTATGACGCGCAGGAGTGGATGAGGCGCCGGCGAGAACACCTGGGCGGGATGCGCGAGAGAGAGAGAGAGAGAGAGAGAGAGAGAGAGAGAGAGAGAGAGAGAGAGAGAGAGAGAGAGAGAAAAAAAGAGAGAGAGAGAGAGAGAGAGAGAGA